TATATATATCTATCTAAAGGAAGAGACCGATTTCATTGAGCCACAACTCCTCTGAAACCATACAAAGTCGGAAATATTTGTGATATGACGTATAAATGTAGTGTTTTGTACTTCCTAAATTTGTCTTTGAAACAATCTTTTTTCCACAGAAAACGCCAATTTTTGAGAAAATATCCAAAATCAGAGACCGTTATCGATCCGTGTCTAATACACTTTCGCGCATGCTCAGTCGACGTACTGCTCGCAGAATTTAACTTTATATATAAATAATATAGGACAATGGTGTAGATTAAAAATTACACCATTCCAGGCCTTTTTGTTTTCCACATAATTAATATTACCAATAATTAACAAGTTCCGGGTCGAATCCAATAGTATATGTCACAAAATTACCTGATCCCTGTTACGTAATCTGTACGTTCCGCCTCTGTCAGGCGCACAACCAAACGGTGTATTTAGGATTTGCTATAAACACGGGTAATAATCACACCTGAACTTCGTCATTATACAGGGAATAACTGTGCACCTTATAATCAGCGTGACTTTACCAAATGACAATACGAATTCTAAAAATCCAGGCTAAAAATAAGGCGTATGTTCTTTAATTCAGTCACGGACACGCGATGTCGCGGGTATGGTCTAGTATATATATATATAGTTCGGCACGTTATGTTTATCCGTAACACCTTAAAAGTAGTTTTGTGTGTTGTCTGCAGTCAATTTAAAATACCTCTAGCATTTAATGGGTGCCACATGTTGAGCAGGATCTGCTTACCCTTCCGGAGCACCTGAGATTATGCCAACTCTCCCCCGCCCCCGGTTTTTGGTGGGCTCGTGTTGCTAAGTCTTTAGTTTTTAGTGTTGTGTTTTGTTGTTTGTCTTTAAGTCATTTTCATTTTTTTGCCTTGGCGTTGTCAGTTTATGTTTGACTTAATGAGTTAAATGTTCCTTCGATATCTTTCGCCTCTCTTTTAATGCTTTATACAATTGGTTTTGGGTTATTTTACCGAGAAAAAGTATTTGCATGGGAGTTAAACTAAATCATATTCGCACCATAATCAATTTTAGTTTTTACGATTGCGTTGTTCAAAATGTTTGGCAATATGTGCTAATAAAGGTACGTTTCTGAGCTTAATCTATCATCCACCAAAAATCCACACACAGGCAAAATGTAGCGGAAACATACTTGTAGATTAGACGACTATTTTGGTATGTAAAGATCCCACAAGGCGATAGTGTCGATTTATGTCGGTCTTCTCATTACATGTTTGAGCAGTTTTTGTGTCTAACTGGTGGTTTTTAACGACCTTGACTGGCTGGTAAGCCCTCGCACGGTCGGCTCGGTGCCCGAAGGCGTTTGGTTAGCATTTGAATGTTGTGTAGTCAAGTTGGAAAAAGGCGGCCATTGAAGTTTTGCTAGATCGATTTGGTTTTTTACTTTTGTTGTTTGGTTTGACATCTACTGCCTTCACAACGGCTACTTTCAGGGCAAGGTTGATCAGCTGTGCAGCCCGCTAACCACGCCGCTGTTTTGAAGGTAGATGAATCGCGGACTCAGTGGTGAATGTCTACAGAAAGCCTGGTCAGGAACCGTGTGGTAGGTATCCGCAATGTACGATATAGAACATGTATTAACGGGTACGACCAACAAAGAGAAGACAATACACACAAATCAATCAACGCCTACAAGAACTCAAAGATCGTCGGCAGAATGATGAAGTTTGTGCTTTTTAGTCCCCTACCAACGTAGTGCTTGAAGATATTCATTTGATATTTGGTGTATTGTTTTATCATGACAAGTTACAGATCAAGTTCGAACTGTGCTTGATATGTGTTATTTTATGACATCATATTATATTCTATTTTTGATGAATGATACTTCAATTCCTACTATTACTATTGCAAAATAAAATATGTAAATACTGTTATTTGTTCATGTTTATTTTAATATTGTATAAGTTACATTGATTAGTAACCTGTAATTAACTGCTACATACTATAAAAACAAATTAAGCACTATCAAAGCAATTCCCGATTGTCCCACATTGAAACTTCCCAATTGTCCCACAAACATATTCCCGATTGTCCCACAAAATTTCATAACTTTTTTACCTGTAATTTCAAAAAGTGGGACAATCGGGAAGACACCTGTACAACATTTCAAGCTCTAAATCGTCTGGAGTCTATGGAGTGGTGTGAATAAATTTAACAGAAACTATCAAAGATCATAAACATCAATCACGTATAAAATCTTTAATTTTCCAATAAATTCTATCTTAAGATTTTTTTCGTGTAAAAGTACAAACCAGAAAAAAATGAAGTATCCAGGTGTTTTTAATAAAAAGAGCAGTGCTTTAATTTTTTTGATAATGCGACATTGGCAGTTTTATCTGACTGTAACTGATGTTTAGGCTATCTTTATCAGACGGCTGTAGTGATGATTGATGTACGTTTATCCCTTTCATTTCAAACATGCACTTTACGTTCATTTTTTTTTCCTTTTAAATCTTGAATTAAGAACCTATAAGTCAGCCCAAATGACGTAGTTTCGCATCACTTTACATTTATAAGTATTCGTTAATTTGAAGAGGTAGATGAAAGACTATAATCGTATAAATATCTAAAAAAAAAAACAGAGTAAAGAAAGTTAGTTTAGTAATATAAAACAAAAAACGTCCATTTAACATCCAATTAGTTTTAATGAAAATACTGACATATAGTTACACTTGGATAAAGATAATATGACTTGATTTCTTGGAAAATTACAGAATAACAATGTTCCAGAAACCGAAAAAAATATACCCATAAAATCGTTGTCCGATGTAATAACTTCGTCTGTGAACAAATAAATACACTTTGAATCATTACAAAAGTTGTCTTTGTTTTCTCCCCATATTTAACTCAATTGCACAGGCAATTACAAAAGTGTCTGGCTAGCGGCGGATTAATTGCACATTTTCTTTTCAAAGTACTCTTACCTTACAAAATTTGTATGATATAATAGTACTTTGGGTAATTCACAATTGTAAACAAAAATCTAATTCAATTATTGTTGGACAAATAACATTCCGGAATTCGCGAAAAAATGAAGATTTCATACGATTGATCATCTTCATAACGGAATTGAGCTGACAGTAAAGGCATGCATTTACATTTTCAAGTACCATCCTTTGATAATGAAGGAGAGAAACTGCGTGTTATTCGTAGGGATAAACAGTTCCTTTTCATCTTTAGGCACCAATTGTGTTCCTCATTATAAGTAAAAATCCGGTAATACATTACCTTCTATAATGCAATAAAGAGAAAAGGAGGGCGAGGTACAGCTTTAGCAGATGAAATATATATCTGTTGTCATTTGTTAAACAGATATTTCTAAACAGTCAATAATTCATGATGGTGCCCGTTAAAGAGAGTCAAGAACCTGATGTTCAGTGGTTGTTGTTTGTTGATTCGGTTCATAGGGGGTTCTCGTTTATCGTTTTTTTTATATAGATTAGACCGTTGGTTTTCCTGTTTGAATGGTTTTACACTAGTTATTTTTGGGACCCTTTATAGCTTGCTGTTTGGTGCGAGCCAAGGCTCCGTGTTGAAGGCCGTACTTTGACCTATAATGGTTTACCTTTACAAATTGTGACTTGGATGGAGAGTTGTCTCATTGGCACTCATACCACATCGTCTTATATCTATGACATCGACATTACAATTGAGCTCTCGGTTTAATAACTACCTTGTAATTAGCAATTCGTTATCGAGAAAAACATCATAGGAAAGACATGGTATATCCACTATGAAGGTGAAATATTTCTTCATGAAGATGAAAATGAAAATAAAACATTATGAATTTTGAGCGTCAGAAGTGCATTTCTGGATTGAACATTATCAGTAACACTCAAACCCCAAAAATTGAAAGACCATGTATTTATAATGAATACGCGTAGAGCTATGTTAACAAAATGGACATTAAAAGAAACAGCCAAATAATCTAGGGTCAACTTTGTCTGTAAAATGGTAAAATGTGAATCAAGAGGATAGGGGTTTAGAAAACGTTTTTTCGTGCATTATTCAGTAGTAAAATACCAGTTTTTGTGAAAAAGTTGTAAACAGTTTTCTAGTTTCTAGATAAAAAGTCACATCGAATACATGCAATAAACATTTTGCCATTTATTTTCATTTTAATATTGAAAAACTGTCTTGAGGGTATAATAGTTGCAGCGGTAACAAAAATCAAGTACATAGAAGGTTTTCAAAGCATATATGCAAGAAAAGGATTATAATGGGAACTGTCAGATTATCCAACAGCAGTCATCATCTTATCTTACCAACCAAGGATATTTAGTGCATAGATTACTGAGTATCAAGACGCAGTTTTAACGAACAACGTTCAAATTCTGGCCAGATTCGGATCAACACCAATTATCTGACAAGCCACGTGTTAGTCTCATAAATACGGTCGTATACCTCCCAAGAAAGTACATTGAAATTTTGTCCATTCAGAACTTTATACATTCAGTCGTTTATAAGAATTAGAAAATGTTGTTAAATTTGGTAATGTCTTGTTGTTAAATAAGATACTTATACCGATATGCCACTGTATAATGCCCTATCACATATTTTGGTGATTTAACGATTTTTACAAGATAATCACGACGGATCAGACTAGTGAAACAGCAACTGCTGACCCTCCAGGAGCATTTGAACTCCCCCACCCCTTACCTCTTTTTTGCTAGGTTCGTGGTGCTCAATCTTCCGTTTTCTTTATTGTAGTATTAAATTTTAGTTTGTCTAGTTTTTTTTTCATGTTGCAATGGTGTTTTCTTTTTTCCTCGATTTGTGGTTTGTGTGGCCTATCTTTTGACTTTGGTACATTTTCTATCTGAACGGGTTTTTATTCTAATACAAGGAATTCAATTACCTGCCTTTAAAGTGTACTGAATGCAATATCGAAAGAACCTGTTCAAGTCATGCATACATTGTGTTATGAAATATCAGTAATTGAAGTATTTGTTATCGATAAATTTATTTATTCACTAGAAATATATACATGATAGACAAATGTATAACTTCAAAGAAACAAAATTGATTTTTTGGTTCGCTACCAATTTATTATGGTAACGTAGAATCTTTAGTCATAATTTCAAAATGTCAGAGACTTTTATTGTCTACAAAGTTCACTTTTTTTCTCCTATATTGCTCTATATACCAATCAGTTTAATTATAGTTTAAAGGACTTGTGTTGCTTATCGTGATATTTAAAAATAAGGTCTTAAAAAAGGGTTCTTATAGTAATTTACTCTTTTTTTAGTCCTCCCAATAAGACAGAAAAATATTTCGAAAATTTTCCAATACCCCTAGCTCTCTTTTTGAAAGAAAAACTTAGACCAACTGCTGAGAAGTTTCATAAAATATTAAACATTTATCAATTGGTTGAAAAGTTTTTTAATCAAACACCGTAGACCCTCTCCTCGTCCCCTTCCAATCAGGTACCTGGCACCTGGAAAAATTGTAAAAGTTATCAAATTCACTATTCAAATACTGCTGGAAACAGCTACCTCGGTCTTTAATTTTCGACATCGATATGATGCAAATGCATGTAATGCATACTAACGCATGACAAACATGTTTATGCTGGATTATATGGAACTGTTAAATCAGAGGAAATCCAGTCGTTAAATTTTTGTCAGTTATTATGCTGCCAAAAACATTTTGAAAATATTGCATTGTGGAAAGAAGGACAACCGTAAGAATTATAATGCAAATATTTGATACTATCCTATTATCTTCTTTGCTTACTTTATTACAAATATCCGAAACAAACAGCTAAATTATTTTCTACAAAATATGAAGTGCCTAGTTTGCTAATTAATTTCCAAGAATAGGAATTTTCCAACTATTAATTCAACAATTTCTATCTCCAAGCAATTTATTTGAAAAAAAAGTTCGCTTTTTATAAGTTCAGTAACCGTTAATATGAAAATTTCATTCCCAAAATTCTATATTTACAATTTTCGATTCATATGAAAAATGAAAAGTATGGTGATATAGCCTTATTAAATGGCACTGGTTGTGTGTATTGTCTGTTCAGACACACTCAGAGCAATTTACCTAAATTTTCTTCAGCAGGTTTTTCAATTGTGAAATTTTCATCAAATATCATTGCGTAGTCTGAAAAAAATACCAGGTATAGCGTAGAAGTTTTTGTGTTCTTGCCATATTAGATGTTTTGTTCAAGGCTTTGTCAATGTAGTTGTGTTGTTCATTTCATCTGACATCAGTGACGGATGTTCATGTCATATGATACAAATCCAATAGCTGGCCGTCAATTGACAGTAGATTCCATTATATAATTGTCAGCATTCTATTATCATCTGAAGATAATATTCAGTAAATCAGTTTTTATTGCGTCCAATATTTTGAGGCGTTTGAAAATTGTCATTCTCATACACTTTATTTTCAGCGTCTGAAATAGATAAAATATCATTCACATTCCTAAACTTTCTTTGCGAAATATTAAGTCAATTTTAAAAGAATGATTTATTCGCCATCAACATTACACAGACGAGTCTGGTCGACCTTGTTTTGTGTAAATCAACCAATATGATATACCGAAAACAAAATGTATATTTTGCTGATGGGTGATGATGCAAGAGATCTGCATCAGCGTTTGAAAATGTATAGCATTCTCTCTGCAGGTTTCGAACTCGATCAGTTGACATATCAACGGAAACATGACTTGCACTGTGACCAACTTTGCCGGAGGGAGTTGGATCTGTAGTTTTCTAATGATTACAAATTTATGAACGGACAATTGATGAAAGGTATGGCATAAATCATTTCAGTAGCCACGCACTAATTTCTGAGATAATGATACCCTCTTGGAAAAATAACCCACTAGCAGCGCTATTGAAAAGGTTCGAAATAATAAACAAAATAATAAAAATGATTTGCAAAGCATGATTTAATTCTTGTGATTAAAAAATAAATCTTCTTAAATTGCAATCCGAATAAACATTTTAAATGAATTCTTGCACTTCATAAAGTCTCTTTATTAAATTGCAGAATGACTTAAATGTCATTAATATAAAATTGTCAAATATAAACGTCTTTCTTTAACTTTTTACACAGTACGTTCAATTAATTACATTATTTTTTTAAAGGGGCATTAGCTGTTAAATTCATGTTCACCGATTTGACTCAAATTCTCATATTTGATTTATAACATACTAAAACGCATTTCCATATTTTAAAAGTTTAAAATAAACAATTCATGATCCATGGAATCGATAATATGTATCAGCATTTCGTGTGTATTTTAGTCTAGACGCCATCTAAATAACAATCGAGGTGACCTCCGAAGAATGCCAATGGTCATATAACCCGACATAAAAATAAATATAGATCTAGATAGATAGCGAACACGTGCAATTGGATTTTTCTAGGTCTGTTTGATTTCAAATTATAGGTTAAAAAATATGTTAATTATCGCTTTTACCTGTATAGGAATGAGTTTTTATTGATCGAATCAGTCAACCAAATAGCTTACCCTTGTTTCACTTTCAATGTTGACATTCTTTTTTCTTTTAATAGCTGAACACGCCTATTTTATGCGTAACGCATCTCTAGGGGTTAAATTGAAGGTCACATGTATATGGATTCTATGAGGTGGAATTATTCACTTGCAAGTGAATAATTCATTAGCGATGAGCCTTAGCTTTTTTGACAAAATTGAACAAAACCGGCTGCTTAAAGCGAATTATTATTTCACTTTTTCACTTCCATTAATGATTAAACAAAACAAAAAAATATATTCTATTTTTTTTTATATCTCGTAGCCAATGCCCGTTTAATCTTTTGCTTATGTGTATTTCTTTAGCACCTATGAGATACATATGGGTTTTAGAAATATAAAACTATATCATAGTAGACTCACCCGCATTTATTAAATCATCATAAACAGTTGGGTTGTTTTTCACACCAAGTTCCTCATAATGTTTTGTCGAGCTAAAAATGTGAAATTAAGATATGTTTACATTGAAATAAGGTATAAAAAAATTGAAAACAACACGTTTAATAATTTCATGCGTCCGAAGCGCTTTTCTGGATTTACCTTCATCAGGAACGCTCAATGCCAAACATTTGAAATCCGAGGGATGTATAAGTACCGAAACAGTTGAAGAGCTATATGACAAAAATACCTAAAACAAATAGCCAAATTATATAATCACACTATACTTGTTTAATTAATTGAATCCAACTTTTCATTTGATAGAGATTAAATATATTTCAGTTAATCGAGGAAAAGAAATTTCTGTTTTGAAATTTTAACCATAGAAAGCAACATTGATTTTTTTCATATGAACTGAATGGTATTTTGCAGAACCACGATTAATAATGAATTAAAAATAGTACCTATTAGCTGTGTTTTCTTCGCAAGCTGTAATGAATAAAATTAAAAATAAAGTACAAAAATTCACTGGAAAAACAACTAATATCGGACAAGCATTTCCCTGTTTTAAGTGCTTTATAAAACTTCGATAACATTCAATAACAATTAGATAGTATGTTATACAAGACAAGCTAAGACCAATTTCTTTCTTTTTTTTTTTTTGCCTTTGTTTTGCATCATTTTTCCTTTGCAAAATTATAATTTCAAAACTATGTAAAAACGTCCCCGTTTCATTTTGTTGCATCAGTAGGGTAAGTTTAAGTCTTACTGACTTAAGCTATATAATTAAGATGTACATGAAAATCGTCTTACCTTCGTTGTTTAAATCGTCATAAACACTAGCTTCGTCTTTTTGACCAAGTTCTTCATAATGCTTTCCAGAGCTGTAAATTAAGGCAATAGTTGTTTACCGATGTTCAAATCCCATAAATAGATTAAGAGGGGAAATAATGGGGGAAACCAGGAATAGGACACAATCGGTAAAATTACAGACCAGACGACTATTGTGCTATTTAAAGATCTAAGACTGCAAACACATGTCTCTGGTGAGATGAGACACAGACATGACGTTTCGTTCAATCGTTTCTTGGTTGTGACCGTAAAACTTATGCAGTGCCGATCTTTGTCGCTTTTACTAATAACTCATTCCTGCTAATAAAGTCCCTATAGTCTGGAGATGCATTAGCGTAACGTATCAATTGGAATATGTAAACGCAATACGACTGGGCAGAGATGATGTAATTGCTGTGAAACAAAAGTTGACAATTAGAAAGTGGAAATAACCACGTTTGACATAGAATCTAGTTTGAAGTCGTTCATCTATCTTATTATCGAGAACATGATCAAAATATGAAGCAGACCTGGTTGTTTCGATAGAATCCTTAATCTCAAATTCACTGGGATCTATGAAATGCAAGCCGTCACTAAAATGTGGTTATTGTGTGATAGGATATCATCAATATATCTGAAAGTGACATTAAAGTATTTTGCAAGACGTTTTTCTTTTTCTTTTTGTAGTTTTAAATATTTTGTATGAAAACTGCTTAATATTAGTGAAAAACCAAGTCGGTCAGTAGGGGTGTACAATTAGTACCCATTGGAATACCGACTGTCTTTTGAAATATACATCTACCAAACGAAAATAAATTTGTCGATCAACAAGTCAGGCATTTTGATGATATACTCCTCGGTTTGTTTGTTTTTGGAACCTGTGTGGTTCCTAACAAATAAATTTTTTCGTGATTTATAACAAGAAATTTGTAGCTACAGTTATTTTGTTTTGTTTTAAAAGCTGTTCAATATAACTATGTATTCTATCTTTAAATTGAACATAGGAAATATTAATGTAAAGCGCAGAAAAGTCAAAAGTTTAGATATTAATGCAAACTTTTAAAGTTTGTGATCGAAGATTTTCTAAAGGTCTTTAGATTTTTAAGACTGTTCTTCCGATTGAAACCACTGGTTGAATATAACTCGTCACAATATTTTTACTCTGGAATGGTGTTGAGTCAAATATCTTGAAGGCGCTGCTATATACCGTTCTTTGTAAGGATGACTTGTGAAGTTAATATATCCAATTACAGACGGGAGATTTTCATTGTCCTTTTTATGTTAATACCAAAAGAGAAAAGGACGGATTTGTGGTTTACTCAAATCTGTTTCGTAAATGATGTAGGGGTATTCTCTTTAGTGAATAATGTAAGGGTAAATGTAGAATTCCCAGTTTTGCTGTAAATTTCGAGTTCTTTGGTTAGAAATTCCAAATAATGTATTTAAGATATGCATAATTTCATTTTGTTGAATTATATGTTTTTCTCAAAACTGACTAAACTTTTGAAGGTAACTTTTAATATGTTTATAATTAAAAGCAAACAATGAAAGCATCTTTTTTGAAAGTGAAACATAAATCTCAAAATAAATTCTTTTTGAAATGACTGAAAAAATAGTACCATATAAAATCTTAGTACCTTTCAGATCTGTTTTCATGTGGTGCTGTAAATATACAAAATTAATATTGTAGTGTAAAACAATACTACGCAGTTATATTTTGTTGTTAAACATCATCAGTTATGACAGTTGACCATGGAGTTTTAAATGGACATATCGAATTTCTGAATGATAAAGGCGACAAAATATTTTCATTTACCCAGACAATAGTTCCATTCTCAATTTTATTGGATACATTTGAAATATGAAGGAATATTTAACATAAGTACAGTAAATTAAATGATTTGTTTGAATGATTTTCAGAAATGTCAGCGTCAAAAGTCACCTCACCTCACCTTCATTCTTCAACTCGTCATAAACATGAGGTACGTCTTTCGGTCCAAGGGCATCATACTGTTTTGTAGAACTGTAACAACAAAACATACATCAATAGACTATGGAAAAGAGAAAGTAAGATATAAAATATAAAATATGAAATATAGAATGTTATCTTTACTTTTAATTTTATAAAGTCAAACGTGTACGTAGTCAATAACTAAGATTTTTTATAATAAAAGCTATTTAGTTTACTAGCAAAAACGACCAAAAAAAAGCTGACAGTAAAGGCATGCATTTACATTTTCAAGTACCATCCTTTGATAATGAAGGAGAGAAACTGCGTGTTATTCGTAGGGATAAACAGTTCCTTTTCATCTTTAGGCACCAATTGTGTTCCTCATTATAAGTAAAAATCCGGTAATACATTACCTTCTATAATGCAATAAAGAGAAAAGGAGGGCGAGATACAGCTTTAGCAGATGAAATATATATCTGTTGTCATTTGTTAAACAGATATTTCTAAACAGTCAATAATTCATGATGGTGCCCGTTAAAGAGAGTCAAGAACCTGATGTTCAGTGGTTGTTGTTTGTTGATTCGGTTCATAGGGGGTTCTCGTTTCTCGTTTTTTTTATATAGATTAGACCGTTGGTTTTCCTGTTTGAATGGTTTTACACTAGTTATTTTTGGGACCCTTTATAGCTTGCTGTTTGGTGTGAGCCAAGGCTCTGTGTTGAAGACCTTACTTTGACCTATAATGGTTTACTTTTATAAATTGTGACTTGGATGGAGAGTTGTCTCATTGGCACTCATACCACATCTTCTTATATCTAATGACAATATTTATAATTAATCATGTCCCGTCAAATTCTATGGAATGATAAAGTTAAGGCTATTAAATTACGAAAAGCCATGTTCCTGTATCCCGTATTCACCCAACATTGAGTGCTCTTATATATATAATATTGGGTTATAATTCGAGAAATTATGGCAGAAGAAATTTATTTCAAGATATTTCGTCAAGACAAGAAAACCAATTTTATTTGCTAATTGAAAATTAAGCTAAATAAAATAATTTAAGACCGCAGAGAAAATAATTCTGTTTTAATTGTTTATTACTAAGACTTAAATAAAGAGTGAGCTATTTATACTGTAAATTTATGATGTCTCTAGTCTGGTCAAAGGGTCAGAGTGTCCTACTTAATCAAACAATAAATTGTTGAAATTAGATAACGTGTTTGCACGTGCAGAGAAATTTCACTTATGACCAGTGCATGATTGGATTACATCTTTCTTATTGGTCAATGATCTTGCGGGGTCAGCACGAGTTTACGTGTAAGTGCGTTGAGGTCACTTCCTTTTATCACCAGCATTTGATGTGTTAACTTGTGATTCTTATCAATTAATTTTGGTGTTGGTGGCGACACTGTGCATTTGCGATCAAAATGTAATTATTTACCATACTTATAAAAAATGATAGCTGATGATTAACCCGATGTAATTTTACAAGTTACTGAATCCTTAATAGCATCCTAATGTTTGAAGAACGTATATCCGCCTTGTGTATCTGTAGGAGACATGGTCCATTTAAATTTAACTACAAATACATAATTTGTTGCATAACGATAATAATACCATACATGATAGAATGCAAAGTTACACACTTTTATACGATATTATTCAAGATTCCATATATTTAAACACTCTCATATGAAAGAGCAAGACAGTTTAAGTTTTAAGGCTATGCTATTATTTATTGGGTTACAAACCCATTTGCCTTACTTGTTTGGGTAAGGTGGACGATATTTCAATTGGTGCAGAGAGCTTGGTTGCTTGTACTTATGACCTCTGTGTATTTCCTTTTGCAATTATGTTTTATTTAGTGTTCATTGTTTTATGCTATGTCACGAAACTCATGCTTCTTTCGTAAATCTCGTCACGGTGGTTTGTTTGGAGCTTATGATTTTGCAAGTTAGCCTAATCGCTAAAATTGTTAGCATTTTAATTTATGCAGGTGTACCTTGTTTGTTTAATGTAAACGGTATAAAAAGGATATGTCTCTTACCTATATCGCAACCCAATGCTTATTTATTACGAACCAATTTACCTGTCTTGGCCTGTTTGGGTAATGTGGACGATATTTTAATTTTAGAGAGCGAGGTTGCTTGTACTTATGCCCTCTGTGTATTGTTTTTGCAGAGGTCTAGTAGCTTGGTCTATGACCTCTGTGTATTTACTTTTGCAAATATGTTATTATGTAGTAGGTATTGTTTTTTGCTTCGTCATGAAACTCATGCTACTTTTGCAGAGGTCGTAGTAGCTTGGTCTATGACCTCTGTGTATTTGTTTTTGTAAATATGTTAGTATGTAGTGGGTATTGTTTTATGCTTCGTCATGAAACTCATGCTACTTTTTTTTTTTGCAGAGGTCGTAGTAGCTTGGTCTATGATCTCTGTATTGTTTTATGCTTCGTCATGAAACTCATGCTACTTTTAATTATTATTTATTATTTCGTCATGGTGATTGGTTTGGAATAAATTTTTTTTGTAATCAATTGCCAGTATTTTGAGACATGTAGCTAGATTCACATGTTTGTCAGTTTATAATACATGTTTTTAATGTATTATTTTATTATAATTATGTTTACTAGTATAATTAAAATACACCTGTGACGTAAATCTTTTGTTCAAACTCTCCATTATTTTTCAGGAATGGAGAGTTATTTTCTATTGTTCGTCTTCATTCATCCGCACGTTTTGCCCTTTGGATATTCCCATGGGCACTTTCTTAAAAATTGTTCACCCATGGGAATAATTCTAGAGGACGAAACGCGATATTGAATGAAGATGAAATCTTACTAAAACGACTGATACTGAATTTTTAAAAATTGGGATCGTAGTAATACAATGAACACTAAATATATCATTATTAACAAACAGCTTTTATTAGCGAGTCGTAATTACATCTTGTAAAATGTAGTATCGTTTTCACTTAAATTCAACAATATAATCCAAAATTTGTTTTCCGATGCAAATCTTGGCTGATTTTTTGTCATGGATAGTATCCAAGTGGGTAAACACGAATATTTTCCATTGAGTCTCATTCCTCTTCTGTGCATCTACAAAATATCAAATGTGTTAACTGTGTGTGAGTCAGTGAATTATATTGTAATATTGAACACATTGACATTATTCAATAATGAAAGTAAGAGAAAATATATTTCACATAAAGATTTTATTTTAGTTTTACCGTTTAAGATATCATTTCCTTGAAATATTTTGATTTTGCACAGCCAAAATCGTTTGTTGCATTTATATATATATATAGATTAAAAACACAAAAATTACTCGGATTGTTTCTACAATAATATTGTGGTTTAATAGAATAAAAAGTCCAAGAAACTGAAATGGTCAAAATGGCGTATTCGGTATTTTATTTGATTGTTCGTTGTTATAATTTAATATAGTACTTATGAATAAAATTTGAGGGGGGTATGGATAACATTTGAATAAGGCTTGTGTTAAATATTGGGAGGGGTTTTTAATCAATTTTCAACAGAAACGCGTAACGTTAGTCGAATTCATTCGATGTTGTTATATGTCCAGTGGCAAATATAACAGTTATATCGACAGTGCAAATAAACGGCGTTGATCTTGAAATAAATGTTTAAATGGAATTAAAAGGTAGACTGTTGTCCACTTAAGTTAAATACATACAAAACGGAATCAAGAAATGTTTTTAATCATGCGGATTTTTGTTTCTAAAACTTTTTTGCTTCCCTTCTAATAATAGGGAAGAATGAAACATACTTTCAGTTTGCTTGTATTGCTATTTAGAAAAAAATGCATATAAGTTTTGTTCGTTGTAATTAGCAAAGGGAACGACAAAATGTTGTGTTGTACATGAAATACTGTTTTCTCGATTCATTTTATTTCATCGAATAAAATGGTTTGACATATAGAATCACATTTTGTTTTCGATATGAGTTTAAATCGAGCACACCGTTTTTAGTTAAATAACCTATACTAGAGTGTTACATGCCTGGAAATTCATTCTAGTGTACCATTTCACTTTTCTCAGACGATTGTACATCCAATATTTATCAAACGAAAAACACATATAATCCATTAACATAAATGCATAAATACTAGTTTTTTTTTACTCTCCCGAAATACCACTTAAAGACACAAATAAATATCCTTTTAAATCCCACTACATGAAAGACGTGCGTATCCAATGACTTTAAACATAAATCTGAATGAACTTTATTCAAGATATTTTTATAGTAATTATTCTACTGTTCACAAATACTTCATTAAGTGAGTAGTTGGTCAGCTTGATCATAAATTTTGCCTGCGGATTTTTGGGTACAACACGGGGAAAAATGAAAAGAAAACCATTACAAAATTGAATAAAATTCTTTAAAATAATATAATCTGAAGATTCGTTTTTAATATCTAAGGTGTATTTTAAGTTAGCGAAAGTCCAAATAACTGTCCATTCCTGGGAAATAATGGGCGTCGGCCCTAAGGGCCTCCGCTCCATTATTTCCCAGGAATGGACAGTTATTTGGACTTTCTTATTAACTTCATGTACATGATATAGTTTGGGTTGCGATGAACGTAATTGATAATTTTTATGCCAATACTTATGCATTGTAAGGTCGTTTGCTTTTACTTTATACTAGATTTATTATTAAAAATAACAATGGACAAGACATATTGATAATATTTTAAAGTTCATACTCTTCATTTAATACATAATATATAAAAATCATGTCTGTTTAATGGTTGATTATTGAAGAAGAAGAAACTATGATAATTAAATCATCGCATAATATTCCTTAACATGCGTTATGTTTGTGGTCCTAGAGTAAGATCAAGTTTGTTTTTTAATGAGAATTTAAGTTTTTCCTATCTTTTACATTCTAATTATGTTTATTTCATGCTTTAACTATGGACAAAGAGCGCTGAGTCTGGTATTGATCTACGAAAGAACTTTTTACCATTGAAGGAAATGTGCAATAAAGCGTGATATCAACAACTTACATATACTTTCATATATCAGCGGTATGCAATAGTTCCGATAATACAAACATACGAATGTTGATGGGTTGCTGTTTCACTGACATTATTTAATGACACATACCTAATTTCGAGATTAGAATTTTGATCCAGACGTGCGAGTCATATCAACAAGAATCCTTGACTTACCAAAGCCTACTTTGACTGTTTTATAAATTCAAATTTACAAAATACGACTTCGATCAGCATTTGGATACACAACTGGACCCTAGTTCCAATGAAAGTCCAAAGCACTAATTGCTATTATTCCACCATCTCTTTAAAGTTGGCTATGTCGTTATTTGTCTTGGACTCTCGTAACTATACAGCACTTAGTTTTAAAAGAAGGAGAAAACAAAGACTTCTGCTGCAGTTCATGGATGGAATTGTCCTATCCGTGATTCAAGGATTGAAGTCAAATGCGTTTATGGTTTTTTACAGCTAAAAAGAATTAAGTTAGTAACAGAACTTTATGCTTCAGCTGTTTCCGGTCAGTATTGCCTGACAAAACGATTATGGTCTTTATTTCATACATTTACAGCTATCTTGTTGTGGCTCAGCATTGCCTGCCAAAACGTTTTATGATCTTTATTGCATACAATTACAACTGTCTTGTTTTGGGTCAGCATTGCCTGCCAAAACGTTTTATGAACTTTATTTCATATAATTACAACTGTCCTGTTTTTGGTCAGCATTGCCTGACAAAATGTTTACTAGTATATGATCTTAAGTAAAAAAAAAAAAATGCTATGCTTCTGCTTTGGGTCAGTATTGCCTGCCAAAACGTTTATGAGAATCAGTTGCTCATGATCCCATATAGAAATAGTCAGATATAAAACGTCGTATTTAGAAAGGATCCAGGGCTTCGTAAAAATGTACTTCTATTTTGTTTGAAGATCTAAGATTAAAGATAAATTTTCGGTTAATTAATGTTCTAATTGTCCGTACTAAAATATTTAGGGGATACTATTATTATAATGTCTAGACGTCAGACGAAATATGAATTCTGAAACATATACTTAACGACGGTTATATTGTAATTTTATTGCTGTGGTCCTAACCGGAATAACCTTTAATCATTTTTATCAGTAAGAGATAATTTAAAAGTAATATCTTGGTATATGATCATATGAACTTTTAATATTTCTGCTCAATGTGGAAACGTTTTACCAAAATAAATGTTATTTTTTGGTGTACATGTATGTGAATGTCATGCTTGTAAATTTTTCAAGTTATATATAAATTGTATTCACGTCGCCAGAGTCCTCGGGTAGGGGATCCACTCTTTCAGTCTAAGAGTGGATTTGGGATCCACTCTTTCAGCTTAAGAGCGGATTTGTGTCAGATTTTTCTCCCCACCTTTGCTATTCTTTGTCATTTATTCAATTGATATGATATTTGTTGATGTAATTTCGTATTAATTATGTATTATTATTTCATATTAAATATGAACTTTTATGTCAAATGTTTTATTTGCAAAATGTATTTTTTTGCAGAGAAGATAATTCTGTTTTAATTGTTTATTACTAAGACTTAAATAAAGAGTGAGCTATTTATACTGTAAATTTATGATGTCTCTAGTCTGGTCAAAGGATCAGAGTGTCCTACTTATTCAAACAATAAATTGTTGAAATTAGATAACATGTTTGCACGTGCAGATAAATTTCACTTATGACCAGTGCATGATTGGATTACATCTTTCTTATTGGTCAATGATCTTGCGGGGTCAGCACGAGTTTACATGTAAGTGCGTTGAGGTCACTTTCTTTTGTCATCAGCATTTGACGTGTTCACTTGTGATTCTTATCAAACAATTTGTTAAAAATTCCCACCCACATACATCCCTTAATGTTATCTTTTGAAGTAGATATGTATATATGTTTATTTGTGGGGCAGATTTTTCTCCCCACCTTTGCTATTCTTTATTCAATTGATATGATATTAGTTGATGTAATTTCGTATTAATTATGTATTATTATTTCATATTAAATATGAACTTTTATGTCAAATGTTTTATTTGCAAAATGTATTTTTTGCATTTTATGATTTTGAATAACAATGAATAAATGACCTTTTTTCGTCAGTTTAGTTTTTATATCATATAGCAAATCAAGCTCGGACTCTGGCCTGTGTATACATAGTATGTTTATGGTATCTAGCTGTCTGTCTTAAATAGCAAATATCTAATTAAATTTGGAATACTTGTTTCATGTATTAGATGACCTACAGATATAAATCTGGGATATGTTTGAACAGGAAGAACATAAATCGTTTAATGTTTAGGATGGAGGCTCTATGTATTGGTCGCTGACTGAACAAGATTAAAAGAAAAAAATGTTCATATTTCTTTTAATGGTCTAGTCCAAAACTTAACTTTTTATTTAATTTATGTTAAATATTAAAGAATGACATTTTCCTTTTTGTTAATGATAACTTTTGATATGATCAATTCTATAAATGTAATTGTAAAATTACCTTTACTAGTTAAATCGTCATACACTTTAGGGGCGTCTTTCAGACCAAGTTCTTCATAATTTCTTAAAGGGCTGTAAAAAAATATATATACACATGCAGTTTCAATATATGCTTCTGTGTTAACTGAATTTCATGATAATGAGAAAATTGAATATAAATGAAGTACATTTACTAAGGTTAACTGCAGATTTCAAGCATAATCCTTATATACAGAATAGGGAGAAAGATATTTTTCCTGATCAAATATTTTATTCTCTGAATCCGTTACATTTGTCTGTTGACTTTAATTAGAAATATTTTGCTGATTTTGTTCCTCCTCGCTTAGAATTTTATCTTCACATAGAAACCCATATGATATTTAACCGTTTGATATCTTAGTATTTTCATGCCAAATTCAAGATGCATTGACCGTAAAAAATCAATGAAGGAAAAAAAAAACGGTAGTGGACAGGATCATTAGAACTCTGTCTACATTTTTCAACATGTGAATCAAAATTTTAAAAAGAAGTTAGCCATATAAAAAAATGAAAACTTATGATACAAATATACTTTACCTAAGATGCATGTTCGCCTGTGGCGCTGTAAAAATACAAAACATAATACTTCAGTACAAAAAACATCTACAAATGATACAGGTATGAGTGCTTGAATTAAAAAGGTTTGAGGTACGTACCCGGTAACTCGAGAACAAAACAAGTATTAACATCAAATTTATTTTGTTGTACAAAAGCACTTGAACAATCCAATAAACAGATTCAATTACTAATGAGAAAAACATTCATCAAGGATACGATATTTCTTGCATGGGCAAGAAATATAGGTAAAGCAGTGTTTTCAGTAGTTCAATCTCCATTTTTGATTTAACAGCAGAGAAGAACGCGCAATTCAAAGTATAGTTACTTAATATAAATTTACCATTTCAAGCACTCAAAGTGTAATATCTATTTTTATAAACTTTTAAGAAAATATTGAATCATAAACAATTTAGTTTTGAAAACGCCACTGAATATTAAAATTTGTTTCTGGAAAAAAGAATCCGACTATCGTTGCATTTTACTTGTTTTTGGATTTTTTTTATGGTGAACCAAACATATTTCTTCTGTATCAGCAGAGCAAGTTTTTGATCAGTCTTTTTCAAAAATACAAATATAAAGATGCATAAAACATGTAAACATTGATCTTACCTTTATTGCTCAAACCGTCATATGCATTTGGGACATCTTGCAGACCAAGTGTCCATAATGTTTAGTCGGGCTGTAACAACAATAAATACAACAGAAAATGCAAACTGAAACGTAAGCCACTCTCTTATTTCGTTTGAAATTTCTTAATTTTGTGGAAAAGATATCATAAAATTAAACTTAATTTTGTTAAATTAAATAGGTATTGCTAACAGCACATTAGATGTTAGAGGAAATATGTTTTGTCTTCATGGTATACAACCAACACATGGTACTACATTCACTAGCTTCCTATTCAATAGTGAGCACATTTTGACCAATTTTTCCAAATTAATATCTTCATATCTTTGCTCAAGTAAGTGGACGTAATTTTTGTTCCTGGTTTGTTCAGATTTTATTGTGTGATTTACTTTTTCTATATATGGTTTAGATAGGGAAAAGGGGGGTTTTGTGTTTACACAAAACTGATTAAATCTCACCACGTAGTGCGCCTGTACGAAGGTATACTATCTAAAACAAAAGTTGTTTGTTATTCGGTGTATTCGTTTATTGGTGGAGTCTTCTTTTTTCAATACTAGTGGGAATTCCTGTTATCCATTTTAATTATCAGGTATCTTTTTAGAATTTGACAACAGGAAAATTATTCATCAATTGATTAAAGGGGTGAAATCTAGTTAAAAGTGCCGTACCTTTGATCTTTGTTTTCATTCGATGCTGTTTAAAGACAAATGCAATATATCAGTGCAAAACCAAAATTTAATTGACAATTTTTCTACATTTAGGATGTTAAAGAGTGGTCTTCCAAAAATTTGATGAAATACAAAATACATAATAGGTTAGATAAGTCATTAATCAATTCATCATCATCATCATCATCATCATCATCATCATCATCATCATCATCATCATCATCATCATCATCATCATCGTCGTCGTCGTCGTCGTTATCATCATCATCATCATCATCATCTTCACCATCACCATTATCATTGTTGATTGCAACTTTCGTTGTGTAGATGATAAGTTTTCTTATAATATTAAATTTAAAAGATTGTTTATTCCTCTTCGACAACAACAACATGTAATTTCCGACTTTTATGAGAGTTGTAGTTCCCATAATCTTTGTATCGTACACTGTTTCGCTGTCTCGTTCGCGCATTCTCTTCTCTTTTTAGTTTTTACTTTCCCTGCGACGTAATAGAAGACAATACATACATACTTTAGTGTACAATATGAAAGTTAATTAGATGTGAGGCCTGTGACTACATGTGATTTAATGGTTAAATATTTACGGATTTGCTGCTTATGCGCTTTTGTGCATTTATTGGTAATACAATAATAACAAACACCATAGAAAATTGTTATTTTATTCATACCATTTTGTGTACCGCTGCTGTTTTGTACTTCTTCATAACCGTGTGTGTAATCATCAGAATCAGTCTTTTCAAATTTCACTGTGCTAAATATGTACAAATATTATTTTAATAGATTTTGGTGTTTCTTGTTTTTTACCACAGCTTAGTAAGACGAACGGTTCGGCAAAACTAATAAAATACAACTGATGAGCTTTAAGAAATGTGTATGTGAATCCTTTCTTCTTTTTCTTTCTTTAAGTATAGGGGGTTCAAAACGTTAAAAAATGTATCCTATTTCCTGTTGATGTCCTTGATGAGGTTTTATTTAAATTATAAAAATTTATAAATGTTTGAGAATACGTAGCTGTACGAAATTGCTAACAGAACTATTGAATTAAATAAGGCAATGCAATTTGTTTAAGCATCATAGCAATTTCATCCATTTGTCAGTATATGATATTTGCGGTTTAAAACAAAGAACGGTTTGACTTTTTGCCTACAATGTTTGATATTTTTATTGATCATTTTTTTTGTGTTGCATGTACTTACTTTTCGCATTGTTGATGCCCTGAAATAAAAAAAAACTATTTGCGTAAAAGATCGATGTAGAATCCTTATTCATAGATATTATTTTCACGATATCAGGACGAAACAAGTTATCTACTTTATTCGAGATACCGTCACTGATGAGTCTTTTATAGACGAAACGCGCGTCTTGCGTTACAAATTGAATTCCTAGTACATGTATCTATGGTGTGTTTATTTATATGACAATAACACTTTATTTATTTGGTGCGTCCGGCGTCCTTTCTGGATTAGTTAACTGGGTACACTAAAACCCAAAAATGTAATGCCAAGGATGCATAAATAATTGAGTACGTGAGACGTGAAAGAACTTAACGAGACCAGGTAAACGTTACATGAGGTAGTATGAAACTTAATTTCCTAATAAGTTCTAAATTTCATCAACGAATAATATGCCATTTATAATGTCAGTACCAAAGTAGATGATATCCTCGGAAACTAGCAGTTCATCAGCAGGTTATCAACATAGTGATAGAAAATGAAAGAAGCACTTGATAAAATCTACAAAATGATTGTTCTACCAGGTAAGATTCCAACGAAAAAAAATTCGTGCATTCTTTTCATAGATTTCCAAAAACTGGCATGATAAAAATTCAAAACCAATAAATGAAAATCCTCAGTAATTTAAAAGTAATCCACTTTTGTTATGTTAATATGAAATCCTTATCTGAAATGATTAAGGTTATACAATATTTGAGTTCGACCATTTCGAATTGACTTTAGAAAGGTTTTTTAACCTGAAATCTTAAATATCATAATTTAATTTTATTGACGTAAGTGTTTCTTTCTTACATATACATTTGTGTTTATAGATTAAAAGACAATAATGATAGCCGTATGAAAATTATTACACAAAAAAAAGAGGCGGAAGATACCAAGAGGTCATTCAAGACGTTACGCATGTCGAGAGAAACTAAGAACGAAAGACGAGTAACAGACAAACAATTTCAGAAAACACTACATAGAAAACTAAAGACTGGGCAATACGAACAACGACAAAATACTGGGCTGAATTCATGTGCTACGGAAGGATAGGCAGGTTCTGCTCTACTTGTGGAACCCATTGGTTCAGTTTTTTTTACTGCCACTGGTTGTCATATTGAAGCTTGCCGATTTAGATTTATGCAAATGTTAAAATGTGTAAGTATGTAATTGCAGCTTACGTCATTGGTAAAGGTATTTGATTTTGTATTTTGACTTCAATATATTTTAATAGAACTTTCAATTTAATGTAGATAAATAATGCAATACATATGAACAGAAATAAAGTAAAATTAATGATTTTGTTAGCACGCTATGTATTCGCTTGATGAAACATGTACTTTGTTTTATGTATAAAAGAAAGCACTGCATTTCATATTTCCTAAAAGACAACATGACTTACCTTTCCGTTTCTTAATGATTATAAAGAACAAAACCAGCATTAAAACAACAATAGATATCAGACTTCCGCAAACAGCACCAATAATTACACTTGCTGGCGAAGGTTCTGGGGATTTTAGTGGAGCTTAAAAAAATGATAAATAGGTATCAATAAATCATGACATCAATGTATACGTAATGACATTTACCCTCTGACTTCAATTAAACTTACTGTTCGCAAATAATGAACAAATACATGACAAGGTGTTGCTTTATAAAAGAATTATATTCGTTACACGATGGTATTTTAATTTTATTTCTGCAAGATGTTTAAAAATAACTTGTTCATTAGATTTCCAAAATTGCCTAATAAAAATTGCATCCATAAATTTTTGAGCACATTGTATTACAATTTGTGTCGGATGTACCCACCCAATATCTGGGGTTTTACTCAAATACATTGAAAGGGTTTGATAAATGGGCTGTATTTTGAAGTTCACAATTTACATTCTCAACTTTTACATTTTCAAAATGTAAATTATTGAAAAAATTGAACATTACAGTAAAAGTAAAATTTAATTGGTTAAGTGCAAGGTCATACTTTTAATTTTTTTGTTTGTATCCTTTGCTCTCAAATGAAGAAAAGATAGTCTTTAGACTTAACAGTACGTTGATTAGAATGGAAAAATGTAACTGTATTCTTAATTTTTGTTCAAAGCACATTTAATCTACGTTTTTAGTATAATCCAAAGCTGTTGATAACTTGACATTTACTTAAAGCATGACCCTTGCGTTTAACAGAGATGATAATATATTATGAACTTCACTTTGAATGATATGAAATATAAGTGTATACGTTTTTACGATCAAATATAAAAATTAAATTAGAAATAATCTATTTAGTCACTGTACCACATCTTCTTATTTTTATATAAATGAAACAATTAGACTGAAAGAAATGTTTAGTCTGTTTTTCCGACAAAAGGAATAACATATGGATTATTCCATTTATATTTTAGGTCAAAAATATTTATCCTCATTGATAGCATTGAACTATCTTCAATAATTTTAAATCATAACATAATGTGAATACTTATTGCTCTTAAACTTTGGTTAAAACAAATGCTATCATCACAAACATGACGACGTCGCCTAACAAATGGTACATAAAGCAACATACATGTTAAAATCAGTAAAATAGATTAAAAAGACAGAATTAAACACAAAAAACCATTATAAACAATAGTATAAAGTATCAAAAAGGCTCACAGTTACTGAAATTTCTCGATTTGCTTCAAACTATTAATAAGTGATTTTGAGCTGTATTCATAAAAGTACAAAACTCAGTGATTAGAAATCCTCATCGTATTTATAAATCTAACCAATAAGTTTATTAAGTCAAACAAATATTTGTGAGGGTCTAAACTGTGCAGCTTTATTGATACTAGTAGTATTTTCAAAAATGGGTGCGAAATAGCACTTTTAATTGATTCTAGCAGGTGAAATGGTAATTGAGCGATGAATTTCAACAATATTTGTTATAAAATTTGGTACAAGTTTTGACCCATTTCCGATTTCTATATTCCTGCATTAGAAGTACTAAACACAATGCTAATAATCTTTGGAAGCCAAAACTTCACCGCAAACATGACCATATCGATCCAACTGAACCGAATGCACATTCCATTTTAATAAGCCAGATACACATCACCATCAAGAAAAGAAAAACTAATATTTGAAAATGCAAATGTGTTCCCTTTATCATTCATTCTGGTACCACGAAAAATTCGTATATCACGGCCAAAAATTCAAAGGACAACGGTCACTATTTATCTTTGATTTAATAACAATGAGATGGATTAATGTATAAAAGAAAATATATCAAACTGATAGATATCGGTAGGTCAGGTTTGTACATACAACGGGCGTATTTTTCTTCCTAACAAATAAGCTGCCACCAATTAGATGCTTAATTTTCGTTTAAATCACAATTTGAGATATTTGCACGCATAGTAGTTTATTTCGCAGTTTTTCATAGCTTAACCGGAATTTTTTCATTGTTCCATGCCCTTTCACTTTCTAACAGAAGCAAAAACAATCTTACTTTACAGACACAAATAATGCTATCAATACTGAATTTAGATAAAAATGCAGCAAGTATTTCTTTTCTAAATAGATATGCCCTTGAAGTTATAATGATATTGGTTGAATGAAATGGCTTTCCTAAATATACCTTTTGTAGATGAATGTTTTATATTCTGGTATGAACAACTAGCCGATAATAATACGAAGAAACTATTAATCAGCTCCTTTCAAAAAATGAGACAAAACATCATTTTCCTGAACAAATGTCCATTTTTTGTCGTTCTCTCATCTTCCAAAACAATTTTTATGTGTCAGTTAATAATGTTCTTTTCATTAATTTTAATGAATGTTTTTCTAAAAGTTATTTTTACTATGAACTTTATTAATCTATATCCATATATATTTTTTGCGTAAGTTAATTATGTCTTACTTGATAGTTCCAAAACCACAGTGTGTTCAACAGATTGTCCAATACCATTTCCTAATATTAACGTATAGTTAGTGAAGTCTTCATTTATTAAATCATTAATTGTAAGAATTGATTTATAGCCATCAACTTTAACAGTCTTCCCATGGAAAACATCTTCCACTACGACCGAGGATTCCGAAAAAAGAAATTTAGTTGATGTTTGAATCTGTTTTCCATTATTGAACCAAGCATTGTAAATGTACTTAGGAACACTAAACACATGAACTACTATGTCAACAGTTTTTCCAACCTCTCCATACTGTATATTTTTTTCATCGTTGTCTGCAGTAAATACTGGTTGTGCTGAATGAGAAAGAATAGTAGGTGCAAAAAAAAAGCTCAAAGATAAACTTGAATCGATTGAGTCAATGCTTGTTAATCTTCAAAAGAGGGAAAGTCATAAAAACAGACAATATCAAACGCTATCTCGGTACAGGCATTTTGATGGGTTAAAACTAGTTTATAGTGACACTTAATGCAAAATAGTAGTGAAAAATAAAAGCAAGACATGCGTGTATATTAATTCCAGGTACAATGTGTACAGAAAAAAACAGGAAGGGTAAAAAACGGATTGACATCATTGGAATCGACAGGGTAGACATT